GTAGAGCAATAGAGCATGTTTGTGCTGTCTTCTAAATGTTCACCTTCCAGATTTCAGTAACACCCTTGTAAGTGACAAGCAAAACTTTGCTGAATGTTGTTGCTGCACAGAAAAGGTTGGAGAAACTGGGTGACTCGGCTTATAAACTTCTTTTCTCATCAGGTCCAGCCCTGAGTCATAGCCTCTCAATCTGGAGGGGCACACCTCACAGGCCTGTGGAAATGGGTGAGAAAAATCTCAGCATTAGTGGAGGGTTAGAAACGAACTGAGCCCAAGTGATCGCTGTCTGTATTGCCTGCCGCCTCATTAACAGCTCTCGCTTTTGAGCTCTTCATTTTCTTTCACAAACTGATTTGCTATGTAAATTCTGTTTTGAGAGAAATAATTTCGCTGAGTTTAAAGGAAATCCTAATATAAAAGAAATAGTAACAACAAAGGTCTAGAGGCAAACAACAACCCTCCCTCCCACTTCTTTCCCAAAAGAGAGGAGGGCTCTGTGAGTTAACCGACCCTTCCCACACTAATAACCTGTAATAGTGTCCTTCACAGGCTTTAGGAAATTAGCAAGAATTCTTTATTTGCTACCAAACTAACTAAAAGCACATTGGTAGCCTTAAATTTGAACTTGTTGCAAATATGTTTGCTAATATGCTGGAAAGTTAGTTCCCGTCACAGAGTGAGTAATCTGAGGCACTCAAAAACTCTCCCCTTGAACCTATAGACCCTTGCTATTTGTGTCCTCCCATCACCCTCCCTCCATCACACACCAAAAGAAATAACAAAAGACCTTCCAGAGATAAAGACTATGAATAGAAAATGTAGAGGAATTTAAAAATGTGTTTTTCCTTCTAGAAGTACAGTACTTTGCCTTTGGTGCTGTGTATTAACAGGAAAAAGTGTAGATGTGCTTGAACATCAGGACTGGGGTAGGGGGTGATGTCAGAATAACAATAATGCCTTCGTCTCCCCTCCCCACAAGCTAAAGCAAAGAGAAAGCAGACTGTTGTTCTTGGTGAAGCGGCTAGGGGTCAGAGATTTTGGACAGGCTTGAAAACTCTAAAAACATGATCAGGGACAAGTCCATGAACTAGGCAGAAGGTGGAATTAGTTATAATATTTTCCAATTCATTTTTAATTAGAAAAATTCAATAGTATTTTGTGACATATCAAGGAAGAAGAGATTAGAGATTATGGCTTATTTGGTAATGTATGGCTCTATTATCTCATTACCCTTTATTTTGAATGGCAGTAACCACAGCCAGAAACTGCATTCGCTTGCGATAGGAACTTCAGCAAAAAGCTTGTGAAAATTACTCGTATTTTTTAGTGATAGAAAGAACCCTGCTTAAAAAGTATTGAAGTCAAAATTAGATTCCTTAGAAAAAGTTAATTTTAAATTATTTTAGAAAAGTAGCACCTTTTTCTTATTTTTAAAATATATCTTAATCCAGAGTTTGTTATCTGGCCTTGTTATATCATGAACTGTTGTGATTTCCTCGGAATATTTCATAGAGGACAAACCATACACTTAAAACTCATTTTCCATCAGGATTTGAGGTTATAAATACTGCCTTTCCATGGATGGAAAGTGGAGGCACACTTAATCATCAGCTCTCAACAAAAAAAGCGGATTATAGGATTCTTGAAGAAAATCCAAAGAAACTATAAGAGTTTCTATTTTGCCATTAACAAAACAAACAAGGCTCCTTTGCATTCTTTTTAGTAAATTAAAAAATACTTGTGGTGAACTGTTTTGAAAGCTTCCTAATTTGCTGAAGTTACTCTACTTTTATTGCCTTTTCTGTAATTTTCAGATATATTTTGGAAATAAAGTACGGGACAGATTGGACAGTAAGATAGAAAACCTTTCTGAGTACATTTTGTGTTTTAAGACAATTCTTATTTAATATAGTATTACTAATTAACACGTGTTTGTAGTTCGGTTTTGAATTGAAAAATTAACAAATGTTGGATATCAAGGCCGGGAGTTGCAAAGCACCTTTTCAGTCTTTAGATTAGTAAACTCAAGGCTGTCTTAAAGGAAGAGCGTAACTGATGCTTTGCCATATTTGTGTTAACTCAAATGACCATTTCAAACACTTGCCAAAAGGGCGAATCCTGAAAAGACCAGTGAAAAGCAAACGGTTGAAATATAAACTATCCAAAGCATGCATACCTCTTAGCAAATTTTTTTTTTTTTTCCTTTTTAGTTTGGTATACCACAAAGGAGAAATTTACAGAGGTCAAATAAAAGCTCTTTTGCAGTTAAGGAGAGGGGAGGGGGAAAAGAAGGGGAGAGGGAGGGACACACCGTAAACGTAAAACAAACTGGTGGCATTCAGTCAAGAAGGCAGGTAAGGCTTCAAAGGCCGGCGAATTGTGGACAAGTCATCTGGACTCTCCAAAGCCGTTCGGAGCCGGGCTGTTTCCCGCTTCTTTGCTTTTTCCTTTCAACCTAGCCCTTTGACGGAGGAGGGCAGCAGGAGGGGAATTTTCGCTGTTGGGGAGTGGCAGGTAGGAAAAGGAATCTGATCCGGCCCAAAAGTCAGCAATTAAAGTCTTAACTGCGACCCATCTGTCGTGGGACAGAGACCTCCCCACACCCACTTTGCTCCAGCAAAGCCCGTCCCGCGCCCTTTGTCTGAGCAGGGAAAAGGAGGAGACTGGTTCTGGGGCCCCAACAGCAAAAGAAAAGAAATTTTCCAGTGTTGACCGATTCTGAGTGTCTGCGCTTGGGCCAAAGACAACTCCGAAGCGCCTCTTGGGGACGTGACGATTCTTCGCTTGCTCTGTGTGGGTGCTCTGACCTGCGGCCCCAGCAAAAGGAAAGAAAATGTGCAGCCTGGGCGAATCCCCAGTAGCTGCACGCGGACCAAGGACTGCTCCAAAGCGCCACCCTGGAGTGTAGCACCTCTTTGCCTGCTCCGGCCGAGTGCTCTGCGATCGCCTCCTACCCTTCTCTGCTGCCTCAGTTGTCCCATCTTGTAGCAACCTCGAGACCTGAAACGAGGCACTCCTAGGCCTAGCTGCAGAGATCAGACATATTCAGCCAGACTTCTCCCCCATCTTGCCCCTTGGCTGTCCTCAACTTCCAACAGGACTCAGTCCTCCTCCCCCATTTCTTCATCCTTTGAATTTTCCCACCACCCATCCAGCTGCCGCTGCCTTTCCGTTAGACTTCAGGCGCGTTCCCAGCACAAGCTCTCTTCATTTCCACCCCTCTTGGCTCTTGGGGCAGAGGGGGAACTGATTTTCGCAGAAAGCTAGAGTGGGACGGAGGGGCCCGGGTGGCTTGCCTGGCATTAGCTGAGAATGGGGTAGAGAAGAAGGAATACTTTGAGGTCAGTTTCCTTCATTAAAGGCCTAGCTTCCTATCTTTGAGTGAAATTGGACAGAGACTTAATCCTAGAGTTTCTAGTCCGCCGTTATCCAGCCTTACGCTGTCAACTCTTTTCAGGGTTCTTACAGAAGGGTGCCCACACTACACTTGGCCCAATACCTGACACCCGCCACCATCTGTTCCACACCCACTTGAGGTTAACTCACCAGGCAGATGGCACCCTGAGCTGCTACTGTCGGCCCCTCACCTCAGGGTCCAGGCCCCACCGCCCTTTGCTTGCAGCTCTGCGCTCTCCCTTTGCCTCCTCACGCCGGCTCACAGCTGCCGCGTCTTCCAACTCTGTGCAGCCCTCCGTGCGCGCCTAGCTCCGGAATCCAGCTCTGGGTGATCGCAGTCTGGCAAGGGACTGCGCCGGGGAAGGTGCGCGCCGCAGCTTCCCGCGCGCTCCTGTAAGAGCTTGTCTGGGCGGCGGGAACCCGCACGGTCGGAGCCGCAGCCACAGAAGTCTTCCCTGAAACCTCCACCAGCACCGTCGCGCCGCCCCAGGAGTTTGGGCCGAGGCGCCACACCCGGCGGGTGCTCGGCTGGGGGGCATTGCAGTGGAAACTGTCTCTAGGCGCGCTCTTTGGGAGGCGCAAGGGTACCTGTGGACACAACTCCAGCGCCGGCAGCTCTCCTTGTTGCGCACAGACACCCAGGCTGCCGCCCGCGCTGCTTCGAGGAGGCTCGTAGAGGTCGGCAGCCGGGTGGGAACTAATAAATTCTGTTTCCCTTCTCCGCTCGGCATTCAGTATTTAAAATGCTCCAGGAGAGCTCTAGCTGAGAGCAGGTACTTAAGAAAGAAATGCTCTTTCCAGACTCTCAATGGAAACTCGGAAGCGTGCGCGCGCGCGCGTTTGTGTGTATCCTGGGTGGGGTCCGATCGAGTCAAGGTTTCTTGTGGTGTGACACCCGATTATTCCTTCCAACTCCTTAACTTTGTGGTTGGAAGTGCGACTTTCCCAGGCCTATTGCTACGGGCATTGCCTTTACAAAACCACAAACACATAACAAGCCTCCCAAGGCTTTTAATTCTCAGGGGCGTTTTGGAAGGCCAGTTACCTGCTGACGTCTTCTAAATGGTCCAGACTCGGTTCGGGCCGCGGAGACTCCGGGATTCCGGGAGCGCGCCACCCCGAGCCCTGGAGGAAGAAGGAGGTCTGCGAAGGAGGTGGCACAGACACTACCCCGGCCCAGCCCGGCCCAGCCAGGCCCGGCGGAACCAACCAGCGAAATCTCGGATTTCGCTGCCAAAGCTTCCTGGCCGAGGCTTTCTGGAGCTTGGCGTTTGATAAATATAGCCTGGCGTTTGCCCCTGAATTAGACTCCGTTTCCTTATTTAGCCCTTGCACAATGATTTTAGATGATGTCACTTAAAGCTAAACGAGAAAATTGATCTCAGATTTGCTTGGCCTCTAAAGCCTGGTTAAGCAGATTGAGAATTAGAAAGACAGAGGAAGCAAAGGGGGGGGGGGCGGAGGGTAGTGAAGTGTGCGCGGCAGAGTGTGTGCGCGGAGGGGAGGGCGCGCCACGCGGGTGAAAGCGCCCCCGCCTCTTCTGGGCGGGGAACCTCACTCACCAATGAAAAGTAGTTACTGACTGCAGAGGAAAAAAAAAAGTTTTCCTGTTGACTGTTGGAAGCGAATTGAACAATTATCTAGTTTACCTTCTCCTCTTGGAAGTTAACGATTGGCGAGATCTTGGCTGCGTTATTGACACAACACTTTCTATTGATAGAAATAAGTAGTGATTGTCCCCGAGTCATTGGTGCGCCAAGAACTCTGCGATGGGCTGGCAGGAGTCCATTCGGCTGGGCAGGCAGGTTCGGCTGGTGATGCTGGGGAGGAGGAGGAGGAGGAGGCTACTGGTGGTGATGGTGCCCGTCCCCCTCTCCGCAGGTCTGTGACAAGCAGGGAACCAGGCGACTGACGGCGCAGCCCAGCCCCGGCTGACGGACGCTGGAGACTCAGACATGGACAGTAGCTGCCACAACGCGACTACCAAAATGTTAGCGACTGCTCCAGCCCGGGGCAACATGATGAGCACGTCCAAACCCTTGGCTTTCTCCATTGAACGAATCATGGCGCGCACCCCTGAGCCCAAGGCCCTGCCAGTCCCTCACTTCCTGCAGGGAGCCTTACCCAAGGGGGAACCCAAGCACTCTCTGCATCTCAACTCGTCGATCCCCTGCATGATCCCCTTCGTGCCTGTGGCGTACGACACGAGCCCCAAGGCAGGAGTGACGGGCTCCGAGCCGCGGAAGGAGAGTCTGGAGGCCCCGGCGGCGCCCGCTGCTGTGCCCTCGGCGCCGGCATTCAGCTGCAGCGACCTGCTTAACTGCGCACTGAGTCTCAAGAGCGACCTGGCCCGCGACGCGCTGCCGCTGCAGCAGTACAAGCTGGTAAGGCCGCGTGTGGTCAACCACTCTTCATTCCACGCTATGGGCGCCTTGTGCTACCTGAACCGAGGTGACGACCCGTGCCACCCGGCAGCCGGCGTGAACATCCACCCGGTGGCCTCCTACTTCCTCAGTTCCCCTTTGCACCCGCAGCCAAAAACGTATTTAGCCGAAAGGAATAAACTGGTGGTCCCGGCAGTGGAGAAATATCCTTCAGGAGTAGCTTTCAAAGACCTGTCTCAGGCTCAGCTGCAGCATTACATGAAAGAAAGCGCCCAGCTTCTGTCGGAAAAAATCGCTTTCAAAACCTCGGACTTCAGCCGAGGCTCTCCTAATGCCAAGCCCAAAGTTTTCACTTGCGAAGTGTGTGGAAAGGCAAGTAATATGCAAAACGGCGATCCTTTCCCTCTCTCCCTTCCTTCTTTCTCTCCTTCCTTCCTTCCTTCCTTTCTTCCTTCCCTCCTTTCTTCTTCCTTCCCTTTTTTCCCCTCCTCCTTTCCTTCCTCCCTTTTTAGTATTTGTGGGGTAATTATTTGTATACACTTTTGGTAAGATTCTCTTCCTCCTGCCCTCCCTCTGCCCGGCTTGATTTCAAAGTTACTTGATCAGCTAACCTGTTCTATGTGTGTTTAATTTTAAGGTCTTTAATGCGCACTACAACTTAACCCGTCATATGCCAGTGCACACAGGAGCCAGACCCTTCGTTTGCAAAGTGTGCGGAAAAGGTTTCAGGCAAGCAAGCACCCTGTGCAGGCACAAGATCATTCACACGCAGGTGTGTTCCTACGTCTTAATTCCACCTAGTTTGCTTCGGAACTGTTTGCAGAAAACAGCCGATAAAGCCTTACTCTTTAGGATAAGGTTCGTTTAAAACGTGCTAGCTGAACAGGGTGAATGCCATGTATTGTTTGCCTTTGTTCTGCTTTAAAGTATTTAAGCAATACTGTGTTTTGAGTTTGCAGAACTTCACATAATAAGAAAATAACCTTAACGTCTCTGCTTTTCCTTCCTCCTGCTTAGGAAAAACCTCACAAATGTAACCAGTGTGGCAAAGCATTTAATAGAAGTTCCACTTTAAACACACATACCCGAATACACGCGGGCTACAAACCATTTGTGTGTGAATTCTGTGGCAAAGGATTTCATCAAAAAGGTAGGGAAAACAGGAAATGTTGTGTCTCATGGTTAGCCTTATGAAAAGCCATAGTTAATCTTTTTGGGATGTTTTAGAAAACAATGTTTAAAGTGTAGTTATGTGGCGCATTTGTTGCTATTCTAACCCCCTACCCGAAGTTTGTTTAGTATCAGAGAAAGACATAGTTCATAAAACAAGGTATTTTTTTAGCCGCATGTTCTCATTCTATATAATTGGACTGATAAATATGTATTAAGATTTAAAGGAAATGGCATCGCTGTTGATGCGATGTTTGAAAATAAACTTGGAGAGACAAGTGCAGGCACGGATAGCAGCCCTGCACTGGCTGTGGAACCTGTGGCGTCTCTTCTGTTTGTCTGGCGCAACCTTCGACGTGTCCTCCCTTGTTAAGGCCTTTTTTTTTTTTCAGAACCACATCCCTGTCATTTGTCTGTTTCAGGGAATTACAAAAACCACAAGTTGACCCACAGCGGGGAGAAGCAGTTCAAGTGCAATATCTGCAACAAGGCTTTCCACCAGGTTTACAACCTCACCTTCCACATGCACACCCACAACGACAAGAAGCCTTTCACCTGCCCCACGTGTGGCAAGGGTTTCTGCAGGAACTTTGACCTCAAGAAGCACGTCCGCAAGCTGCACGACAGCAGCCTGGGGCTGGCCCGCACGCCCGCTGGCGAACCAGGCACAGAACCGCTGCCCCCGCTACAGCAGCAGCCGCCCGTGACGCTGCCTCCTCTGCAGCAGCCGCTGCCACCCCCGGGGCCCCTGCAGCCCGGGCTCCACCAGGTCCACCAGTGATCGAGGCCAAGATTCCTCCCAGCCTCAGCCGGGGCCCCCACCGCTGAGGCAGCGGCAGACTAGAGCTCCTGATCCGAGTTTGTCTCCAGACCCCAGGGCTTGTTGGGTCCCACACTTTAGGCCCGACCGGAAGCCTCTACATCCCCTGGCCTTTCGCCTCTTGCATGCACCTGCTAAATGGTTTTGTGTATTATATTCTATATAGGCACTAACAATTATGAAAAATTTGGAGGGTTTTGTTTCTTTCTATTTTTCTTTTCTTCTTTTAATTTGGAAAGGCTTTTCATCTTGGGTGGAGAGATGGTGTTTGTTTTGTTTCGTTTAAACAAATTTCTGCTATATTTATTGAGATCTGTATTATTCTACCCGGGAATGCTGCATCGTTTTAATTTTATTATTGTATATATTTCCACTGTGCTGGTTCTCCGGCCTCAAGATATCTGCTGGTTGTTTATTATCATTTCCTCCTTCCCTGAAGTAACAAAACACTGTGTGTATGTCATATATACACGCATAGATGTGTGCGCCCATAAGGGTACATTCCACATTCGTGAGCACACACACATACACATTAGATAAGGGTGGTTCATTATGATGATTTCGAATTTTACTTTTGATTATTGCACGTGAAAATTGATTCGTTGACTGTTGGAAATAAATACTTGGAACATGCTTATTTAATCAACAAACTTTAGGGTTCTGTTTTTACAGCTAAAGATCCCTGACTCTGACCCCCTGATTAGTCCTCCTTTTTAAAATCTAAAACCTGAATTAGTAACAATGTTTTGGTCTGAAAATCCATCAAGTGCAGACTCTTCTAAATGGTTACACCTTTGGATAAAGTTATGAAATCTGGTAAAGTTCAGAAGCAGAAGACATGGAGTTTTCTGACAAACATAAATTTGGCTTGGACCACCTGGTATGTTTGTAGTGCACAGTTAAATGGGAACAACATATCCGATAGCTGCGTGCAATGTACATCTCTTCAAATGTGTTACAATCATAGATAGACAGGTATCTATTGTTTGCATCCTGAAGGCACATACTGACTTGTACACAGCTGGCAAAGGGAGCCTCCGTGTTTTTACATGTGTATATATGTTTATAAACGAATATACTTCCATTCAAGGAGGAAACATGGACGAAAACCAAACTGTGGCTGGTGCCAGGTCCTTGAAATTCTTCAAGTGTTAATCAGCGGCTCCGCTGTGAGCTCGGGCTCTGGTGTTTCTAACTGCAAGTCTCTCCTGTTTTCTTGCCAAAACAGTGAAACAACTGCTAAAGACTTTAATTAAGAGGGGTAATTAGTTCAGATTTATCAAAGCCGGGTTGTTATACTATTAGCTGCTCAGTAGAAGCTGCCAGACGAACTCACAGCCCAGCACAGTCGTGCTACTGCAGAGGGGCCACATCATGCGAGTGCGATTCAGGGGAGCGGACCCCGGGGTCTCCCCGTCGCCGCCGCGGTCTCCATCACCCAGTCAGGCCCGGGGCCAGTGCGGCCAGCCTGTAGGCCTCGGGGGTGCATCTCGGCCCCCCCCCGACCCCGGCCCACGCGCTCCCTCCAGGGCTGTGGTCAGCCGAGAATCCGCCATCTGTCCACACCGCGGACCCAGGTTCTACAGAGTCCAAGGATCTCCCTTCTGCACCCACTGTAGGACAGCCTCGCCAGCTCCCTGACTGCCCCGACAATTGCGGGGAATAAACTTAAATGTGCGGCGCTGCCTTATTTCTACACGTCCTGCTGCGCCCAGAAAAAGGCGGTGCGGAGCGGTGAGACCAAGAGCGGAGCTGTGCAGCGGACACTGGGCGGGGTGCGGTGGGCGGTGGGGAGGACGGCGGCGGCGGCCACCCGAACTCTCATTTCATGGCGGGGAAAGACTGACGGCTCTGGTCACCAAGAGTGGGTGGCCTGAGTGCTTTTCGACAGCCTAGGAAGCAAGGAGATGACGAACAGCCCCAGTGGGGTGATCGCGGGCGGGCGGGTGAGCGGGCCCCGCGGGGACCCCACCCCACGTTTGGCCTGAGCCCCTTATGGGTTGTGGGGAGCGGGTATGGGAATCTAGAGAGCATGGACCTGGTGTGGGCTGGCAAGGTCCCCAGAACAGGGAAGTCCTGACACTTCCTGCAGGCGTCTGGTCCAGAACTTTCTCAACGCTTGTGCCAGGACGCATACCCTTTGTGGACACCGGGGACAAGTTCCAGCCCAGCCATGATTAGATAGAATCCCGAAGTTTCTGTTTTTCTGACCTCCTCACTGCTAGCCCTTGTCCGTTGCTGAGGCCAAATCCATGTTAGATTTGACTTCAGAAAGCGATGGAGCGTCTTGGAAGGCCACAGCTGGCTGGATTCTGAATCCAGGCGACCCGAAGTAGCTCCATCTCTCACTGAATATTACAGCTGATTTGATAATCTTCTATCAGGCTCTGGCCACATTCCTTGACAGCTGCCTATGCCTCCGAAGGAGTTTTGAGAGATGCTGCAGAGTTTATGAATCACCTTTTCCAAAGTGGCTTAGTCAGATCTTGGAAGCATTTGGTTTGAGTAAATGAGAATGAGATCAGGAGTCATTATAATTTGCAACTTACACATTTCAGTGAAAGAGCAGGAAATGGCCTTTGCTTCTTGAACTTGTTGTCAACACATATTTGAACTTATTCTCAAAACCCAGGGTGTAGATTCTTCTAGACATTAGAGATGATGCGATTTTCCTGGTGGAAAGCCAAGTGAACATTATTGAGAAACATTACTAAACCATTAAATACCCCATGCTAGTGTATGTTGACATATTGGGGGTGGGGAGGACTCTTCTATGGAATAATAGAATTGGTTTGTTTCAATCCAGAAAAAAAGAAAGAGAGAAAGGAGAGAGAAGAAGGAAGAAAAGGGGGAGGTTGAGAGTGAGAGAGAAGGGGGGAGGGGAGGGGAGGGGAGGGGAGGGGAGAGGAGAGAAAAAGCCCGAGAAGAAAGGAAGATGAGAAAGAATAGAATAAAAGAACGAAGGAAACAGAAAAAATAAAGAAACCGTTATTGTACATTCCACATGACAATGTGGAATGACTTTGTTATAAGGTCTGATCTGGGGTGGTGCAATAGTTCCAGTGAAGGCAGGCACAGGAAATTATTGTCTGCTCACATGTTTGAGCAGCCTGGAGTGTTAGTGATTAAGTAGAGGAGGCCAAAAGGAAATTCTCTAAAATGAAGTACTCAAGAGAACTACTTTTCAGGAAGTAAATTATCAGTGAACTTTGATTTGTGATAAAGCTGTTAGAGCTTACATGAAGGAGAATCTCCTTAAAGAGAGTATAAGCTTAGGGATTAAGTTTATGGGAGAAAAAAAAAATTGATGAAGTGGAATGCTTAACTAATAGTCGGGGAAGGACCTGCAATTCTCTCCCCTCAACTAATATTGAAGGGTGATTTTTTTCCCTTCAACTATCTAACCTCTGCATGTGTGTATGTCTGTGTGTACATGTCTCTGTGTTACACGTGTCTTATTATAGTTTTTTATGCTTGCTTATGAAACAGATTCCCTAAAAGTATGAATTGAAACTTCGTTTTGTCCCAGTCCACCTTCTTTTGATCAGACGTTAGCCAGCAAATTCTCTCATGTTTAGTGAGGAAGAGAGGCCACTGTCAAGATTATCTGATGAGGGAAATGGTTTACCTTCTGCTCCCTCTGTTCGAATTAACTTTTGGTATAAGGAAGATGACCCTCCTCTGGAAAGGGCAGCAGAGACTAATTTTAGAAACTTAGTGATTCACTGAGACCTTATATTTAGTTCAGTTTTGGAAATCAGAACATATAGCACAATTCACATTATAAATATTGAATTCTTATCTTTGTTTTGTTGAATCAGGGTCTTGCTCTGTCACCTAGGCTGGAGTGCAATGGCACACTCATGGCTCACTGCAGTCTCTGTCTCTGATGCTCAAGCAATCCTGCCTCAGCCTCCCAAGCAGCTGGAACACAGGTTCATGCCACCATGCCCAGCTAATTTTTGTATTTTTGGTAGAGACAGAATTTTGCCATGTTGCCCAGGCTTGTCTTGAACTCCTGTGCTCAAGCAATACTCCTGCCTCCACTTTCCAAAGTGCTGGGATTACAGGCATGTTACATGTGTTTTACCATGCCCAGCCAAATTCCTATTTTATTAACACAGAACCCAAATCCTGATTTACAATAATCTCTTCCAAAGGTAACAATTTGTTTAGATTTCCCAAATTTTAGTTTAAGAACAAGCTATTATGCAAGAGTAAGACTAAAGTGTCGATTGTTAGTAGTAAATGAAAGCATTGCATATGGGCTTCATCTAAGCAGTTGCTTGTTAATGATGTTGGAGGCTTAGTGAGTTTCTTATGAAACTTTGCCCTTCTCCAAGTATAGGAGAAATTAATCCACAAGATGCAATGGAGTTGTAATTCCCAGAATCTGTGCATCCTATTTCACAGATGTCCCCCCCACCCATCAATGTCAGAAATCCTAATTTTGCTAGAAGTGGTAATACTCAGAATAAACTAAGGTATAACTGTAGAAGGTATATTTTGTCTTGTAAAATATTTATTGTGAGACACGCAGTATAAAATACAATGATCTCAAATTCAAAATTGGAGCAGAAACAAAAATGTTTTCCTTTTTACTTTATAAACCCATGTACTGGGTAAATCTCTTATTCATGAAGTTTATGATTTTAAGGGCCCATGACTTATTGTTACCAGAATGCATTTTCTTTTATTTTTTATTTATTTATTTATTTATTTATTTTTTTTTTGAGACGGAGTTTCACTCTTGTTACCCAGGCTGGAGCGCAATGGTGCGATCTCGGCTCACCGCAACCTCCACCCCCTGGGTTCAGGCAATTCTCCTGCCTCAGCCTCCTGAGTAGCTGGGACTACAGGCATGCGCCACCATGCCCAGCTAATTTTTTGTAGTTTTAGTAGAGACGGGGTTTCACCATGTTGACCAGGATGGTCTTGATCTCTTGACCTTGTGATCCACCCGCCTCGGCCTCCCAAAGTGCTGGGATTACAGGCTTGAGCCACCGCGCCTGGCCACCAGAATGCATTTTCAAAAGCATTAAAATTAAAACCAACCTAAATTTCAGTAGGTAAAAATATAAAGTTGTTGGCTGTTGAGATAAAAAGTAATTTTGAACCCAATAAAACATCATTGTCTTTTTGCTATATTTTTGCTAAAAACCACAGATTACTCTCACAGAAGAAGTTATTTGTGTCCATTAGGTTAATTAAAAACTGAAAAACAAACCGTATTTGTGAGTAGAAAATACCTTGTTTTGAATTTCATTGCTGACTAGGCATGGTGGCTCACGCTGCAATCCCAGCACTTTGGAGGCCTAGACAGGTGGATTACCTGAGGTCAGGAGTTCCAGACAAGGCTGGCCAACATGGCAAAAACCCGTCTTTACTAAAAATACAAAAAACTAACCAGGTGTGTTGGCAGGTGCCTGTAATCCCAGCTACTTGGGAGGCTGAGGCAGGAGAATTGCTTGAACCCTGGCGGCAGAGGTTGCAGTGAGCCAATATTATGCCTTAGCACTCCAGCATGGGCAACAAGAGCGAAACTCCAACTCAAAAAAAAAAGAAAAAAAAAATTATTGCTTCTAGAAATTAATGCCTGTGTCCATTTCAGCTTCAGGAAAAACTAAAGACAAATAGTGATATACTAATC